TACACACATGTTTTCACTTTTATATATAATTGCATATTTATTATTATACATACATGTACATGTACTGTATGTTTTAAAACTGTTTTAATGTATTTTAACTCTAATTAAATGTCTGTAATTGTACATATCCTATGGCTTCGTATGGTTGCCTACATGTAAGCCGCCCTGAGTCCCCTTCAGGGTGGAGAAAGGCGGGGTAGAATTGCCATAAATAAATAAATAAATAAATAAATAAATAAATAAAATCAATATTCTTCAGAGTTTTTATCATGAACTACCGGGCAGAATATCTACAAAAACGAATATAAAAGTTGATCTCTTGGTTTTTCAAACAACAAAAATATCCCTAAAAATGCAATTTACTCACCAAACTGGTTGCGCCTGCAATGTCTCAGTGATCGGACCGTGTCTGCAATCATGTGCTTTGGAAATGAAATATCAGAAAAAATATTATGGGCATGTGTGCCATAAGTATTGTTTTCAACAGTTGACTAACAATGCAGCCTTTATACATTTTGTTGATCATGAAACCGCCATTCAGATAAATAGATCTTCCATTTAATGTGGAACACCCACAGAACATTAAAAGGCAAAGGATTCTTAGAGTAAAAGAAAACACACCTTCTGTTATGCCTTAGGAATTGCAATGGCTTAGTATAAATAGCTGCTGAGAAAATATTTCCTTCCTATGCTGTTCTTTTCCTAGGCGATATAGGTCACAGATGGCTGCACCGATTAGAGAAAGAGGGAAACCTTTTCAATTTCACTGGATGTGTATAGTCAGATCTCAGGATGATTTAAACTGGCACGACCCATAGAACTATATTGATTTATTCCTGTTGAGGGCTTGGTCTAATGTTTTTTCTGCAATTATTATTTGATCACAGTCGCAATCTAAGCAGTGGGTGCAATCAATTGGACCAAAACCATTTAACTTTCCAGAATAACTAAACTGAAGCAACCTATCTGCAATTAGCCAAGGCACACTGGTGGAAAAGAAAGAAAGGGAGAGGTAAAACACTGCTTAATATCTTTAAAAAAATAAAATTACTTAGAAAATTGAAGTATGTTGTCGAAGGCTTTCATGGTCAGAATCACTGGGTTGCTGTGAGTTTTCTGGGCTGTATGACCATGTTCCAGAACATGGCCATACAGTCCAGAAAACTCACAGCAACCCAAATTGAAGTATACATTGTTGTAAGTTAGCCATGTTCCAGAAGCATTCTGGAACAGTTTTTCGGGCCAAAAAACTTACAACAACCCAGTGATTCAGGTCACAAAAGCCTTCAAAAATACAAATTGAAGTATGTTTGGTTTACTGTAACATGATAATAGTTTATTCCACAGAAATAACATGAGTTACAAGAATGCTGTTGAATATAATAGCTGACAGTTCTGTGGAAATGTTTCTTCTGTGGAAATGTTTCTTCAACAAACATCAGATTTCAATTTAAGGTGAAACCTGATAATCACTTCATATAAATATTTTCAAATTGTTTGTTAAACCATGTTTCCACAATTGCAATATATACTATTTCCATTCACATGTTGAGATTCCTAATTTCTAAATTCAACAGAAAAATGAGGAGGGAATGACAAAGCTTATGGAAACCCTAATTCGTCAGCAGAAATACCAAAAAGGCCATCAGGACAGTGTGAGAATAAAGTCATAATAAACAGTTCATCAAAGGTCACATACTTTAAAGAGGGGTTCAAGAATATTCATGTGGTTTTGTACATAATAGCTAAAGGTGACACTGTATTTGGACAGGGAAATGTTTAATTTAATGAACCCTTTTGTCAGCCTCATAACAAATTTCAGTGGCAACACAAAAATGTCTATTTAATGACTTCCTCATCTCTTCCAAACATAAATGCATAAACTCAAACTAAGAATAGCCTTTTCGTATTTGGTGCAGTTCAGATGCATTGAACTATTAGACACTTGGTCTAATTGAAGCAGGGTCCACAGCAGTCTGGCAGGTTAAACTGCTAGCTGCAGAAAAGCTTGCTGATCGGAAGGTCAACACTTCGAAGCCATGTGTTGGGGTGAGCTACCAATGTCAGCCCTTACTTTCTGCCTGCCAAGCAGTACAAAAACATGTAATGTGAGTAGATGAATAGGTACTGCCTCAGCAGGAAGGTAAAAGGAGCCCTGCAGCCATGCTGGCAAAACATGAACATGTCTATGGGCAATAGGCTCCTTGGAAGGGAAAATGGAACAAGAGCACCACCTCAAGACCAGAGTTGAGCATTGCCTCCAGACACTGGAGTTAGAAAGAGAAACCTTTGCCTTGTTTGTGTATTGTATGCCATTGCTCACTGTATAAAAGGCATTGAATGTTTGCCTATATATGTATATACTGTAATATGCTGTGAGTCCCCTCGGGGTGATAGAGGGGAATACAAATAAAGTGTATTATGTATTACTATAAAGTTAATTAATCTGCCAGAGAGTTGGAGTGATGTAATGGTTTTAGGCATCAGAGGAAGGCAAAGACAACCCCCTTTTAAGAAAACTTGCTAAGAAAATCCTATGATAGTTGCCTTAGGTCAAAAATTACTTGAAGCCACAAAGCAAGCAAAAGAATCTGCTAATACCGAATCACAATGAAACTCACACGTGGACTGAACCACGGTTTTCAAGGGGAAAATGAAATAACATTACAGGGATACAAAAGGAAAGAGGGGGTTAACATTATGGCAATAGCCTTCTTCCCCATTAATGTATAGTTTTCAATACATACCAGTTTTTCAAAGTTAACAAGGTTATCCAGAAATGTTTTATTTCCCTCATGTATAAATGTTACATCTAAAAAGAAAATACATGTTTTTAGTTACATCTTTTCACTTTTATGCACTGTACGATTACATGATGACAGGAATGAAGCACATCAGTTAACACTGTTAACTGATCTCCATCTAAATGAATGATACCTGTCTACTTTTATTTATTTATTTATTTATTTATTTATTTATTTATTTATTTGGGACATTTCTATCCTGTCCTCCTCACCTCCGAAGAGGGACTCAGGATGGCTTACAGCAGGCAGACAATTAGACCCCCCCCCCCAAAAAAAAACCCATTAAAACACACAGTAACAATTAACACAATTAGGCCAATTATAAACATTCAATTAAAACAGAAACATGCCATTTAAAAAAAAAAGCATTTTTATGGGAGTAGACACTGGAAGTTCATTGTTTGTAAAATGATATAACTGTGTTCACTGAAATGCTCCACATTTCAATAAATATAATTGATGTGTTTGTTATTATATCACTTGTTAAAATAATTCCCTCTGAAATCCACAATTCATGAGCATCTGCTATTTCCCATTGGAGTGCTCCTCCCATCAAACATAATTCAGATTCTTTAGAAGATGGGCATCATAGTACTATTTGAATGTTATTATTTGACACCACCCACATTCTTTAATCTTTAGTAACTTTATTTACATCTTGATTTAAGCCAAATCAGAATTCAAGGTAGAGCATACAAACTATAAGAAATAGAGTTGTCCCCAACAATAAAATTATCCTTAAGCAAGATGAATCCATGACATATGTAGATTAAGTCTGGTAATTTGACCATGAGAAAGTATTATAAGAGCTGCAAAGGCTAAAACACAGTTACAATGACATTAAGGAGACTCAAGTTAATTGTTTACTCAAGACAGAGATCAGCACCTGAAAGTCATGAGCAAAAACAGGTCGGTTAGATTATATCATTTTAGGCTGGATCTACACTGCCCTATATCCCAGGATCTGATTCCAGATTATCTGCTTTGAACTGGGTTATATTAGTCTACACTGCCAGATAATCTGGGATAAACAGATAATCTGGGATCAGATCCTGGGATATGGGACAGTGTAGATCCAGCCTAAGACTACCATTTGCCAGCCCATTACTAGAAGAGACCTGTAGTTATAGCTTTGTTAATACAAAGTATAAATATTTTCTTTACATGATTCTACAATTCTCAATCTGAATCCTAAGACCATGCATGTATGGCACCATTCCTCTGACCAGATTTTCAGTACCTTTATTAGACTACAGTACCTTGTATCCTGTACTGAGTATATTTGATGGCTAGGAGATGCTAGAAACCAGCATGGTGTCATGATTTGAATGTTGGACTATGGCTCTGGAAACTAGGGTTCAAATTTCTGCTCTGAGTGATCCTGGGCAAGTCATCCTCAGAAGAAGACAAAGACTCTCCTCTGAATGAGTCTTGCCCATAAAATCCCATAGTAAGTTCACCTTATGGGATTCACAAGTTTGTAATGACTTTAAGGCACATGATGACAACAACAGTAGCAGTTCAAAATGTAAACATTGCAAATTTTGCTCCCAGATCAGTGTAAATGATGAATCTATGGAAAATGCAGTTGTAAAGAAGACACGTTTCTTTCCACAAATGAATTAATCATAATGAATTCATCACCCCTTCCTGTTTTCCCCTCCCCCCCCCCCCTTTTAATCTTCTGCTTCCAGTGTTAGCTTCAATATGCTAGGCCATTGTATATAAAATGCAAATGTACTCTTCAACGCTTTTGCTTTCTCAAGTTCTTTCAGAGTTGGCTCCTGACAGATGGATACCTTGACTCCTGTTCACCCATCTCCTTCCTAATAGGCTTTCTCCAGCCTTCACTCCCAAAACCATTTCATGCAAGGCACCCCTATCACAATGGATCCTATGCGTTCTTATTACCAACCCCATCACTAAAACAAATGAAGGAGTCGAAACTGTTACTGTCAATGCTAATAAAGAAGGTTTTCTACTAAAAAGCCTGGGCAGGTTATTTTTCTGCTTGCTCTTTAAAGATTGCTCTGAGAGCCTTGCAAGGATTTCCAGAGGGGAGAAATGGGGGAGAGGGGAAAAGGAAATAAATTTTCTGCACTGCTGACAACTATGAAGCTAGATAAATTCAGTAGAGCAGAAAATTGCATACGAGCTACGCTGCATGAGCAAAACAGTGCTTTATTAAATATTTGAAAAATCAGCCAGGTTTTCAGAAGCATCATCGTAAAACATCAGGATTTGCTGCAGAAATTTTATAACCTTAAAGAGGACATTGCGGTTAAAAAGCATTATTTCGTATTTCTGTTGAAAGTCCATATCGCTTATTTATACTTGGGACATGTTAATTTCTCTCCTTTCTCCATCTCAGGTTTCTTTGGAGTCCCAACACAAGGCTAATCAACTATGGAACAGACTCAGTGATAGATACAATTCAAGGACAGAATCATGTTAATCTGAAATATCAGTATGCAGAGGGGTCTTGTAGCATTATAGAGCAGTGTTTCTCAACCTTCCTAATGCCGCAACCCCTTAATACAGTTCTTCATGTTGTGGTGACCACCAACCATAAAATTATTTTTGTTGCTATTTCATAAGTGTAATTGCTATTTCATAACTGTCATGAATCGTAATGTAAACATCGGATATTCCGGATGTATTTTCATTCACTCAATGGAATTTGGCACAAATACCCAATACAACAAAATCTGAATACTGGTGGGGTTGGGAGGATTGATTTTGTCATTTGGGAATTGTAGTTGCTGGGATTTATAGTTTCCCTACAATCGAAGAGCATTCTGAACTCCACCAATGATGGAGTTGAACCAACTTGGCACACAGAACTCCCATGACCAAGAGAAAATACTGGAAGGGTTTGGTGGGCATTGACCTTGAGTTTTGGAGTTGTAGTTTACCTACCTCCAGACAGCACTGTGGACTCAAACAATGATGGATCTGGACCAAACTTGGCAAGAATACTCAATATGCCCAGATGTGGAGTTTGAGGAAAATAAACCTTGACATTTGAGAGTTGTAGTTTTTGGGATTTATAGGTCACCTACAATCAAAGAGAACTCTGAATCCAGCCCACAATGGGTCTGCACCAAACTTGGCACACTACCTACATGACCAACATTAAATACTGGTGGGGTTGGGGGGGCTGTTTTTGAATTCTGGGAGTTGTAGTTCACCAACACCAAAAAGGAAGAGGACAGGTGGAGAGATCTTCAGCCTCTCTGCCAAAAGGGTTCCTAAGACCATCAGAAATATGTGTTTTCTGGTGGTCTTTGGTGACCCCTCTGAATCCCTCATGACCCTTCCCCCGGGGTCCCTACCCCCAGGTTGAGAAACAGTGCTATAGAGACTGAGAGAATTAAGGTGGTAGCATAAGCTTTCATAGATGTACATCTACTTCCTGAGATGCAGATAGACACAAGACAGACATAAGAAATATAAGCTGTATAGTCTCAAGTTATAACCTAAAAAGTAAGTAGCACAGCAAACTTTCTAAAGCTAAGAATGGTTCTGGTGAATGCATCTAAGCAAGGCATCATTTAAATCCTAAGCATACCTGTAAATTCTTGAAGAATAGGTGGAAGTTAAACATAATAAAGGGAGATCTAAAATGGCCAGAAATGCTTCATGCATTTAGGGCAATGTCAAGCATGATTTGAGTATACTGCACAGCAACAGCTGATATCCATTCCTGCACTGTGGAATCTCTATATTTTCTAAAGCACTGTCACATTGATCAGGCTATTCATGTAGAACAATTCCACACCAGCAGTGTCACTGCTACCTAGGGCTGCTGCCACAACATTTCCTCATGACAGGTCTTGATCAGAAACTTTGGTGAAGATGAAGAAGTAAAGTATATAAAAAGCTATATTTAAATGTCTCCCTGGCCACTCACATGATACAAAATGCATCTGGATTTACTGTAAGTAAACAACACTCACAAAAAACCGATCAAAGCTTTGCAAAATCTGCTTTGCAACCCAGACTCGCATGGAATCCAGAGACCTCCTGAGACCAATAACCATGATATGACATGTTAGGATAATAACAACTAGCTTTAATGCTATATTCCAATTATATTTCCACTTTGGTAAGTTTTTTGAATTCAGACTATAGCCAAAGTCTAGGTACATTGCTGGACAACTTCTGGGATAGGCTACAGCTTAGATTCTTATATGAGATGAGACAAATGGAGAATATAATGCAGCAGACCCCCTTTAAAGAATGCACTCTGGAGCTAAGGTGAAAAGATCTCTGTATATCCAGCAATTTTTATCACTTTGCAAACTGGTCCTGGTAAATTGCAAGGAAATCTTATATTTTTAAGGACATTGTGTTTGTATTTTATTCCTTTGCCCAAAGGAGAAAAAGATAAGAAAAGGAAGTGATTACAATATATGACCTTATACCACAGTCCTTTATTTCTCTTCCTTTTTCCCAATGCTTACTCATCATACAAAGATCTACATACATCTTGCCTTTTCCAACCCCCCCAAAACTGTTAGGGAAGAACGAATAAAAGGGTTATTAAAACCATACAGTAAACCAGAACTATTGAGGGAAGCAAGATACTCTGTGGTAATACTGAAACTGCAATTTGGTGATGCCCTGTCAAATTGCTGGAAATCCTAGGACAGTCTTGCACAACATATGGCCCATGGGCTGCATGTGGTCCCCCAAAGGATTTTAAGTGGCATGCGGCAGCTACCAAATGGAACACGCTCTGGAAAACAACACTATGACCAATGCCAATGCCACCTCTCTCGTCGGGCCAGAATCAAGAGCAAGGCCAGTGCCTCCTCTTCCCCGCCTACAAATGGGGCTCCTCACCAGCTGCCCCCATTGTCATGCTTAATCCCTATGCAGGTGCTGCCCTGGGCAGCAGCAACTACAAAGTTGCTGCTGGAGATGCTGAGCAGTCAAGCTGGCTGGCTGTTTGGCTGTCCCTCTTCCGCCTGGCAGCTCAGGCTCCTTTGGGCAGTGTGTACCACTCTGCAGTGCCGAGGATTGAACACTAGGGTACAAAGGGCAGGGTGGTGGGTGGGCTCAGAAGAGGTGGCTTTCCTAGTGGCCATGGAGAGCTTAGAGGGAGCTCTGTGCTCAGGATTGCAGCAGGAATGCCGAGGATTCTGTAGACAAGTTCCCCAAGTGCTCCCCTCAGCCCTGTCCTGGGTATGTGGCCCAAAGAAGTGTAGCCTATTTCAATTTTATCCTCTTACTTCTACTGAATTGTCCAGATGTCAAAGCACCTTGGACACATCTGGATCGGAGGCACACACAGAGCTACCCATTATTAGCCTCTATCATGGAGGAAAATAATATGAGAACAAGAACAAACAGGATTGAGTATGGCACATGATACAATAGCAGAAGACATGCAGAGAATATTGCTAAATCCCAAGTTCATTAGGGGAAAACAAGAGAGAACGCATGCAAAGACTCTTATTAGTAAAAGCTACCATATATTGATGTGCGCACAGTAGGATGACATTCAACTGTAGGGTACAATTTTCACTTAAACCAGGAAATCTAGCAATTCAGATACATGAACAAGGAAATTATTTTCTTCAGGCAAAACACAAAACACTGTGTCTATAATAGATTGTGATCAAACGAACAACCTTGCAGCTCAATAAACCTGTAGCTCAATTAAAAGCTTCTACAAAGGCAACTTAGTCCTTCTCATCTTTACAACATCCTGGTTCCATAATTGACCCTCCTGGTTAGCCATTGATAAGTACAAGACCTAGCAATGACCTACAACATGCACCACATATTCATTCACAATATGTACACAGTTCTAGTGTAAAACAAACTCTTAACAAAACAACAACAACAACATATAATAATAATAATAATATACAATCCTACCTACATCCACTGTGTTGAGTAGTTCTTCAAAAACATTTATCTCTTAAGTAACTAAGACTCTAATCCTAAACCTTTTTAATATGTCACGAACCAAACTACACATGAATAATCATGGGTATAGCCTTTGTACTGTAACTACATTTAAGGAATTGATATGGGCAAGTAGTATTACCTTTCAGGAGTAAAGGCATGAAGGGAATTTTTGGAGACTTCATTTTCTTGAATGTATCCCTGTAGGCTTTATGATTCAAAGAAGGATCCTGTAAAAATTGGTTGCAATGAAAAGAATGAAGAAAACCAGTAAACTTTCTAAGAAGGGCTAGTTCAACTCTACTACATATTTATAAGCTTAACATAATTTAAATATAAAAAGTTTCACTGGAAAATGAGGGAGACAGGGAAAGAGGACTAATGTGCATTCATTCAGTTTTGGGATGAATCCACACAAAGACATTCACCATTTAAGATGATATGAAGCTAGGAATAAGATGACACAAGTAGGGAAATTGAGATCTTTTTCCATAGAAAGCCTACTTACTGTCAGACTTTCAAGTTCAGTGAAGAGCTTCTTAAACTTTCCAGGGATTCTCTGTGATATAAGGGGGGAAATGGAATAAATGTGAAATAAATATTTAATATTTCTTTTAGTGACTCATATGTGGCACATCAAGTAAAATATAAAATCAAGAAGCTACTTCCTCTAGCAGTGCCTGCTTTTTTTAGTACTCAAATTCCCCATTATGAATAATGCTTAAGAGAGATGTAAACTTTTTGTCTTTGGGGATTCCCCCATTCACAATTTCTATGATCATTGTTTCATGACTTGTCTCCAACTTCTTTCCTCCCTGTGCCATTTGTCTTATAATTGTTTCAACGGCTGCAGTTTTAGCAGTGCATTTGCAAAAAAAGTATTAGAGACAACCTAAGTTTGCAATAGTAGGTCAATATACTTGAAGCAGAAGTACAAGTTGTGTTCCAGATGACATGGAAGACCTGTTTGATGGTAATAAGGAAAATTCTGATCTTCAGCTGTTTGGTGGGATTGCCTTCCAGGAGCTGGGAGTGCAGGAGAGATTGAGGCTAAAGTCCCAATTGCCAAGTCTTGCCACTGCTGTCTCGCCTGTCAATCCCTCAGTGAGATTGCTCTCCAAGAGACAAGGATGGTATGCAGCAGTGGCAGCATGTCCTAAGTGCCAAGTATTCTTTCTTCCTCTTTCCTGCTAGAAATGTGTGGGCTGTGGCTCATTGTAGGAAGGAGGAAAGAGCAGAATCACCACTGCAGCTGAAGCAGAAGGAACGTGTGCCTGATGCTTGGGCTTTACCATTGCAGAGTGTGCTACTTATTATTCTGGGACCAATTCTTAGATATCCACAGTTTTTCTTATCTTCAGGGAACCAAACTCCTATGGATACTGAGGGCCCAATGTATAATATATTACCAATTAAAATTATCATTTACTTTGTCTAAATTAATTGTTACAAATTTTACATCAATTGCTTGCACCTGTTCCTAGAAGGTTATAATAGCCCTGATTTAAATATACAGTGTTCCCTTGCTACTTTGCGGTTCATTTTTCGCAGACTCCCTGTTTTGTGGGTTTTTGCCTCCCAGTTTATGAATGGTTGCCATTGCCAGAGCGGCACTCTAATCCCGCCTTCTGGATAAATGAGGGACCCGTGATAAATGAGGGAACACTGTATACTCCCCCTATCCAAATCTTGGATGCTGTGAGGACAATGTGCTGAACACAAGAATAGTCTATATGATGTTTTATATGATGTTTTTATATGATGTGTTATGTGTTATGTATTGGTTGTTTGATTGTTTTAACTGTGATAATTGTTTTTAATTATGGTTTTGTATATTGTGTGTAATTTTGTATAGGCATCGAATCGTGCCTTTTCTGTAAGCCGCCCTGAGTCCTCCTTTGGGGGTTGAGAAGGGCGGGGTAAAAGTACCCGAAATAAATAATAAATAAATAAATCCAGGTGTAGCCCCGCTACATAGTTATGATAATAACCCTTATCAGAAAGGCCAGCCAAAACATCCTGCTTCGCCTGGCTTCTGGCGAGGAAAGAGGGAGCAGCGGGGAGCCAGCACAATATAAGAAGCCACCCATGTTGGGATGAAAGCATCCGGTGATGCTTTCATTCCGATTAGGGGTGGGGCCTATGCCAGAAGTCACACGATGCCGTGTGATGTCCGGCATCAGCCTCTGTCCACCAGATAGGGTGAAAGCATCCTAGGACACAGATTTCACCCTGTCTGATGAGGTCACAAGAGTGACTTAAGAGTGACTTAATTCCATTGTTTTCAGTGGATCCTTTTAATGGATTACTTAGTTTAAATACAATCCAAAATAACAAAAAAGAAATGTCGACCAATTAAAAACAATAATGAAATACTGTTATTACCTCCCATGTCTGAGAAAGTCGGCTGACTGATGCAGTGTTGAGACCCATAACAATGGCAAAAAATGAATTCAGGTTTCTTTGGGCTTTGCAGCTAAGAAATTAAAAAAAGAACATGGTTTCAGCTCCTTTTAATATAAAATCTTTAATTACTGAGTTGCAGAAATACACAAGATTAACGGATCTAATTATAATAACATTGATAGAAAGTTATTCATTGTGGTGACTCATTTAGATGTGCTGATTTAAGTCCAATAAAGTTTCCTAAGATTTTTTTAAATTTCTTCAACTGGAATAACACTTTTATTAAACCAGCCTTTGTGTTGAAATAGTAATTTGCTTCTGACACATATACACTGACAGACATAGATCAAATAAAACTTCTTAGGCTTTTAAAATACAAAATTGAGTTTCACAATCTTTTTGGGATCTCTATGGAGCATATGGGCCTGTACCAGTGCTTTTTTGTGCCATTTGAGAGAAAATGGAAATGGGTTTGCACATTGTCCACCATGCCCACACACATTTGAACTGAGAACTATTCATAGTCCCCCTTTCACCCACTGCTGTGAACATTTAAAAACCCAAGTTTGAAACCATAAATATATCTATTTCTTTCTTTTTTTTTAAAGCTACCCGTCTATTTATAGAGATTTCTCACATTGTCTTTGTCAGTTGGAACTGGATTTCTTTTCCAGGTTCATTCTTGTAAGAAAAACTGCATTTTTTTAATATTTTCTCCTCCAAGATAGAAAGATTTTGGAAGGTCGGGGGAAAGTGTGTCTTCCACAGTACCAATTTACTACTGTAGTTCTTCCTTGTCAGTGCACCTCGAGTCACAACCATATTTTTTTCATCCAGCTTCTCTGCCCTATTATATGACAAGTATACACTAAAATACCCTATCTTATCTTTTTTAAAAATATGTGCCCAAAGTGTGCAATTATAGCATTTCTCAATCATAGCACTCTTTAATATCCCTTCAGTCATGTGTGATAGCGTCTATTTCTGGAAAAGGAAGAAAAATAGGTGCCTCCAGTTAAATATGTTGCTTTATTTAATTTTTTAAAAGTGGCTGAAATGTGTTATTACACTATGTCAACCCCAAGACAGCATGATAAATGGAGCCAAAAATTCAAAGGCACACAACTGCAGCACTTTGCCATGCTCCAAACGATTCCTGATTTTGGGAATTCAAAAGAAGTTTTAATTTTTTAAGGCTCTCTGAAAATGACAGTGATTTTTCCCCAATAAGGCTAAGATCACTTCTTTTTCTACCAGTCAAGATGACATAACACTTTGATGTAAAAAAATTTCATGTAAGGAGCGACTTGAGAAACTGCAAGTCACTTCTGGTGTGAGATAATTGGCCGTCTGCAAGAACATTGCCCAGGGGATGTCCAGATGTTTTACCATCCCAGGGGAGGCTTCTCTCATGTCCCCACATGAGAAGCTGGAGCTGACAGATGGGAGCTCACCCCACTCCCCAGATTCGAACCGCCAACCTTCAAGTCAGCAGTCCTGCTGGCACAAGGGTTTAACCCATTGCACCACTGGAAGCTTTTAATGGATCTAATTATAATAACATTCTTATAACATTACTATGAACGTAGACTTTTGGTAACCCTTCTGCTGTGTCACTGTTGAATCATGCCAAACCAAACTGGGCACACACCAGCACTAACTATGACTGTTTGTTTACCTCTCTGATCAGAAGTGAACTGAGAAACCTTCCATGGTATACAGTATGCATGTCCATCACATACGCCACTCCCACCTCACACTCCCCAAACAACTATCAAATTAACCTGAAAGTGCTAAAAATACCATGGTTCATTGGCAAGAACTAAAGAAGCTGATCTACAATTGACCTACCTTTGATTCCTAAAATAATAATCTTCTTGGCTCCTGATTGAAGCCCAACACATTTGGCTCTTAAAATGATATAACAATTGCAGTTAACATATTATTGTCTCCTAAAATAATATTTTATTTTAAGAGTCTATAATAGGTTATCGTAATTATTTTAAGAGCCAAAAATGTTGGGTTTCAATCAGGAGCCAAGGAGATTGGTTTTGGGAGAAAGATAGCATGATATGAAAAACCTGGCTGGAGTTGATGACTGATGTCATAGACTTTTTCTGTAGAAAATGTTTTATATTAAGATAATTTGATGTTGCTGTTTTTTCTTCAAAAAATTTATTAATCTCTTTAATAGTAGCGATAAGCTGGCAGGAAGGGCTGAGTGAGTGGTGATCCATGAATTAGTGAAATCATTGAAAAGTTCTGAATGGGGATAGTAGTTGACAATTGGATTGAGAGAATTTGATGCAGTGAGTGGGGTGAATGAGTGAAGCTTGAAGTAAAATCAATCAGATTTAGGAATCAATGAGTGAGATTTAAGAGTCTGACTTTGTAGTTTTAAGAAAAGAATAAGAATGAGAGTGAGTCATTTGTTTTAAATGTATTGAATTATTTATTTGCTTTGCTCAACTTCTGTTAAGAAAGGTTTTTTTTGTAACTTGCTTTTGGCCTCTGGGAATATGAAAAATGTATGGGTTTCAGATACTGTGTCTGTATTGGACAGCAAAGGGCAGAGAGTTGGTAGGGATAGAAGTTGCATAGTCTTCACATGAACCTTGAGGATATCTAATAGGTGCCTTCAGTGGTGACCATAGATGTGGAGATTGAGAATGTCTTTATGTTGGTAGTAGAGATGGGGATAAGGGAAAATATTCTCACGGAGTGGTAGCAGTAAGGTTGTGGAGGGTTTCATATATGGTGGCAGCAGCAATTTGGCAGATTCTTACATTTAATGGGGTAAATAATGAAATAATGTGCTGGGCTCTCACAATGCCATTTCAACCCACCCATACAAATATTTAATGAGTTTTTGGGTGTCTACTGGTCTCCCAAAAATTGCTGGAGTGCTTTTCAAATGGTGCTAAAATCCCTTCCTCCCTCATTCCATTTGGCATCAGTTAGTTCACTGACTGTTCAAATGTTTGGCAAACTTGCACGAAAAAGAACTCAGTCCTTACTTTATGTAATTAACACTCTTAAACATGAATCACAGACATAGAGGAAAGTATGAAGCATTCTTCTTTCTAACGCTTAATTTCTCTGTTATTAACACTTAAAGATCATTAATACACAATCTTGTTCCTCTTCCTTTACCCTATTTCTTTACCTTGCAATTAGTATTCCCTGGCTGCACAGCTTGGAGTTTATCTAAATTAAATCTTGCCTCACTGTTGCTTGCACATGCCCTTACAATCCTTAAATCACCCTTCATTTTGTTTTTCTACATTTTTCAATATATTATGCAGGGATTATTTTTACTGAAAATCTAATTAACATGAAATCTTTAGATTCTGTTGAGTAGTTATTAGATATTCTTAGTCACTCACATAACAAGCATTATAAAAAGGTGTCTTTCTGATACTGACACAGACAGTAGTCCACACAACAATTGTATTAACAACTGTAGTGTCATTTGATGAGATAATATTCCTTTTCTATCAACATAAAATTTCAGTTTGTGTGCTTAGAAAAAGTACTATTCCTGTAGAAGTAGCAATACCTTATAAGAATCTGCATGGATATCATCAGTCAAATAAATTTCATTTGAACATTATATTCAACCATAAAGTGACCATCTGAAAAAAATATTTACTTTAGCTTACCTACAAGGTTTAATTCTAGCAATAAGCTATTGAGATCTACATTTCTACTTCAAATATTTGTTCATACTATACACTTCAACACCGTCCAGGGACAAGGTGTAAATGTAATATGTACTTCCATAATAGAAGGTATGCTTAAAACATTTTAAGTGAAGCACATAAACTGGTACAGGATAACTGTCAATATTGTATTTTCATAACTTTTAGTATCTGGACCTGTTGCTAATTATTTATTATTATTTTAAACAGTGTGAAAGTGAACATGAGATATGTGCATTCCCAATGAAAATTTTATTGCATCAGTTTCTATAACATTAATGAACAACATCAATATTACAACCTGAATGAATTATTAATTATGTATTAATGCCTACATTTATATTCTTAATATATTAGAAATATATGGAATACTCTGAATAAAACACAGAGAAAATGAAAGCATTCTTCATCTACTGGCTGGCAACTGACCTCTTCCCTAAGAGACTAAGCTAACAAGGAATTTCTACTTTCACCAGACAAACTCTATCCATCTATTATCATTTAATTTTTTTAAATAATTGAGATATGAAATAATGTAATATAGCATTCTACAAAATCTGTATGCAAATGAATCAAACTTCCTATTTGATAAATATGGAAATGAATGTGCTGCTCAGTGGCATGTTCCCAGACAATTGCATTTCTGAGTGATTTATCAGAAGGCTCTCCATGACAGATTTTACTTTAGATGACAGAACATTCAATAATTTTTAAGTACTATGCTGAAACAGATTATTAATAGATCTTGGCAGCAGGGAATATAATTCAACAAATGCATTTTATTTATTAATAATGCTTTAATGAGAAGAGGCTTTTTATCCAACTTCTAGCCTAAATTCATTTAGACTGATAAAATATATTGTTCTAGTTCAGTGGTTCCCAACCTTTTTTTGATCAGAGATCATTTTGATCAGGGACCTCTCCAACATTAGTACCAAAGGGGTTACGAATCGGTTTTTGGTCAACTTTAGATTCGATTTGGGGTGCTGATTCAGAAAATTGCATTGGGTAGACCACATCAGCTCTAGTTTCTGATACAGAACATATGGCATCCAGTAGTTGCCATCTGCCAGCCCACAGGAAACCTTATTTAATAATCTAGTGCTGATGTGGCCTATCCAATGCAATTTTCTGAATCAGCACCCCAAATAATCCCAGGAACAGGTTTAAAAATGAAGACACCAAGGTGCCCCTTCTTCCAGGCGCCACATGGAATGGCTCCGCTCAAGGGAGGAGGAGAAGTAGTCAGGAGGCTTGTTGTTGTGCCTTTTGTGAGTAGTCAGCCTCTCCCCTCCTGATATCCCCATTGCCTTGGCACTATAAAAGGGTTTTGCAAGACCAGTCACTCTCATTGCAACGGTGTAGTAACAATGAGGCCACGGGCCATATTTTAGTTCTTGGGGACCGTTGCCGGGCCATGGACCACAGGCTGGGAACCAGTGTTCTAGTTGCTTGCTATATACAGTATAATATGAACCTTACAAGGCAAACAAAACATGTGGTATAACAATATATTTTCTTTTACTGTCTTCCAAATGCATTTTGAAAATATTAAATATTTTCAACAACGTAGCTTTGTGGCAACATTCATGGAGCTGTTGTTTTACTTACTGAGCAGCAATTTTAATGAACTTTTTCACAAGCTGTACACGTTTACAGAGCTGGTTGCAGAGCAATATTTCTGTGGCAACCCAGAGTTGAACTTCATTGCATCTTTGAAGGAGAAGACTAAGATTCACAGTGTTTTCCCCACTGCCCTGTCTGCTGAAGGTGAAGTATATCAGCTCTTGCTGGAAGACAGTTAAAGAGTAATTAGGCCTCTAAAATGCAAATCAGAATTTAACTATCTAAAAATTGTAACTGTTGATACTTGGTCAGACATCTCTTTTTAAATAATTTATGAAGATACCTCAAGCCATTCAGAAAGAGTTCATAATAACAAGTAATTTGGGGCATTTATCAGCAATTACTGCTCTAGTTGCAGCTATGAAAAATTCAAGAATATTTTGTTTCTGAATTGGCATCTATTGCCGTCTATATTCATGTAGAAGTCAACCTCATGCACAAATCAAGGACAGACTTGAGAGCCAATATTTTGTATTTTGCTATGACCAGTGAATGAGTTAATGATAAAACTTAGGAGCATGTGACAAACATATATTTTCTTCTCCTTTTAAAAATGTATAGAGGGATCATACTTAAAAAGAGCTAAAGGCAAGGAATCCATTTTATAGGCTATACAGTGGGTGTAAATTAAAATGTTTACTTATCTACAAAAAAAGATAGAGAAATGAATATACATAAGAAGAAAAATGTGCTCCCGTCCCATTATCCCTCCCTTGTCCAACCAGAGAAATAAATGCAACCCCCTCTTCTTCCCTTCTTCCTCACCTTTTCTTTCACCCCAAACTACATTTAGCTGCAACCATCTAAACCCTTGAAGTAGAGTGGTGATGGCCATTTTTAATAGGGCTTTCCTGTAATCTCTCTGCAAACAGCAAAAGGCTTGCAGTCAGACGGCAAAGCCTCATGAAATGTATACATAAAGACTCTATTAAAAATGGCCACAGACCTCACTTCAAGAGCCCCAAATAAGATGCAGCACAACACATTTCTAGCACTGACTCAGGTTTTTTGGATTATTTTGGTCATTTTATACACATTCATTCATTCCTTTTCACTTACACAATTGGGTTGAGTACAAATGTATCCATATTTACGACAGATTACAATGATTCCATTCTAAGCATGACTAATTCTTCATTCCACCCATCAATTCTAACATAAATGTTGGCATGCATTTCATTCTAAACAGAAGTCTAGAATAGGATCCCATTGGGTACATCTGCAGATACAACTGAGTATATCTATGTACACCAGACATTACACTTGCTTTCATTCCCTGCAACCCACCATACCACATAAATCCCAAACCTGGAAGGTTTTTCAACCCTCCAAAAGAAGATGTGTGAAGGTTGTGTAGAGGAAGTAATCACCAGTTCTTAAATCTACCTTCTGCCAGCAAATGTACCATATACTGGTACATTATATCAAAATCATCCCAAATTCAAAGAGAGTACTACTGAACAAAACTTAGAGTAGTCAGTTCACCTCACCTCATGAACCAAGTTGAAAAGATTCCAGTCAAAATTTGTTAACTCCAGAGCAAGGTCCCAAGTGTTAATTCCCAGAATCCTCACTGAACGTTGCTGAGTTTCATCGTTTTCAGCAAAGGGATTCTAAACCAATGGACAGATGGAAAGAGATCCTGAAGAGTCATGTACAACTGAATATCAGCCATAAAGCTAAGTAACTTATTTTCTCTAGCATTTTTGTCATGAAAGAATTATGGCCTCTCAAGACTGAAATAGTTTCAATATTAAAATGAATCAATGCATTCTTATTACCTTAGGGAACACCACCACTCAAAGATCAATTATTATTTTTTAAAGGCATCAACCAAAACCACAACAGCAAAAACCATAATAAAATTAACTTCTCAAACGGTTCATGGTTTTTCCAATGCATGTGCTCAATGTGCCTTCATTTACACACTTCATAAAACTGTCAATTCTATGATAAAAGTTGCTTGTTCCAAATACACTTGACAAGCAGAAATTAAAAATGAAAAATTATGCTTCCAAATATATAAAGCATCTTAATACATTATTAGAAAGTGCAACTTTACTATTTAACAGTCTATTAATTTTGCTTCAGTCTTATCAGAGAGTTATAATTCTATAGAAAATGAAATGAATTTTGTATATTATTCAAACAGAAAATAATCTTCCAGTCCAAGCTATCCTATAGATCCCATTAACCTAAAATGTATGTATTCCTAGGTAAGCATGCATAGGATCATAGTTTTAATAGACTACAAAATAATTTAGAAGTACTAGAGATATTTATGCAGATACGTTTTGTTGTAAATGCAATGAAGTTATATGTTTTCCACACAGGAAATGTGGATTTTGCACAGAAACCTTTACATATTTTTATACACACACAAAAAAATAATCCTCTGGAACATTTTGAGATGTTCAAAGGAAAATGCTACAATAATTATTCATCTTCATCTGCCAGGACTACATAGTTGAAGATGTACATCATTTGTTCATGCTGATGCTTGGTGAGATAAAATGATGATACAAAGAACCAAATATTAAAAGGTTACGCAGTTTCATTTTAGCAATTTGTGACCCTCTAGGCTTTTCAGATGGAGCAGAAATCTGTAGAATTCATAACATGCATACTTACCAGAGTATCTGTCAGATCCTTTCGAAACACAAACATGCGAGCAGATAACTCAAGGGATTTGGAAATGGCATGGTCATTTGGTTGTAATTCATGTTTTTCTAAAACAACACAGAAAAATATGTTAATGTTTTTATGTTAATGTTTTAAATTGTATTTATGGTATTGTGGGCATTGAATTTTGCCCTGTAAACTACCTTGAGTTGCCTGCGGGCAGAGAAAGGTGGTATACAAATACAGGAAGTAAAAAAGTAAATAAATAAATAAATAAAAAGTTTAAAAATCAAACGTTACTTAATCTATAGTTACTGTCCACACATGAATGTCAATTTCTGAAGCCATCAGGTCTCCTGGAGATCTATTAACTTCTTCATTATCTTCTTCATTTCATCTTCTTTCTTCTAGCGGTATAGATAAGCACTGCCTACCTAGAGAAGGAATGGAATGCATGGCATCCACACAACACATGGGCTCCATTCACCTTAACATGGGAGAAGTCTGCTAAATGCAACATTGTCCCATGTTTAAAAAATAGTCCAAAGCTTCTCTGAAGCTCTGGAATTCACCTGTGGTTTGGGCCAATATAAACAGTTGCGCTGTTTCCTATTCAGAAGTGGTTGCAGTTGTTCACACTGCCACCCTGCTTTCCCTGGGCTCAAGCAGCGTGGGGACAGGGGATGGCACTTTCCTTCCCCCATGTTCTGGCCTTAGCAGCAACCATCTATCATGAAAATGACAGAGATTGCTGCTCGGAGACTGTAGTGATGATAGCCAGGGCAACAAAGGCATGAGAGAAGGGAGGGTGGAAAGGAGAGAGCAATTTGTCACTTCAGCTATTGTCACTACAGGCACTGAGTGGTGACTACCACCATTTTTGTGTCTGGTAGTCACTGTGAAGATCAGATTGACAAGGGGAAGGTAAGGGTGGTGGTCCAGCAGTGCAAAACCAGTTCTGCCCCCCATACTATCTTAACCACTTGGCTGTGCAGGGAGCAGATCAGAAACTATATAGTTGAATCAAACAAGAATTTATTAACTGACAAGAAGTTTAGACTTTCTCTCCTCCTGAGTCTTTATGAGGAGAGGTAAAGTCTTTGAGAGATACACACAGTTCTGGCCAAACTAAGGATCTTGAATCTTTATTTCTTCTTATCTCTTTCATGTATGGTGTTCAACTGTCTCTAAGATGGTCTCAAAATTTAACTCCAACTGGATTTGCTATTCTGTAGACCTTCCGGTCTTCCTCTCTCTTCACCTTCCAGTCACGAAAAGGCGGACTCTTCCAAGAACCGGAAGTGCCTTGTCTGGGGCTCCGCCCCTGAGGGGATTCTTAAAGGGATAGGCCGACAGAGGCTTCAAATGCAAAGAGGCTGTCTAGACTGACCCCCCAGAAATTGTAGATAAAATATTAATCCCTATAACTAAAAAGGGCTCATCTAGGGGTAAACAGTGAGGGTCTCCATGAGGCATGACAGACACTGCTGGGTCATATGGATGCCATCCAGCCACAGTATGGACACCTGCCAGCCTCTGAGATGGCTTAGTGGCTGGCAATGCGGGTCTCAATGGCACCAATCTGGAGTAACCTACTCTGGATCAGCACTGCCATTTCTGGCACATGTAGACACGTACCTGTCCAACCTAGCCTCCACAGACCGCCAGGCTATAAGGAGATACAAATAATCCCCTCCCCAAAGCCAGGCATTGGAGAAATGGGCCACTGAATGCCAGCAGGCTTCCCTGCTGATGATAATAACCTTGCCTTCATCTTTGCTCTACTCAGAGCCTTTTTTATCCATCCCACAGCACCTCCATATATGCTGAAATGGTTATTTCAGCATAGTATCCCAGCAGAATTTCTGCCACAACCATTTTCTCCTTGTTTAATATTTTGATGAAATAAAACAGCTTTCTCGAGACTTTCACAGTGTTACAATAAAATATGAGATCAGGCAGTTCAAAGAGATCAAGGGCAGAAGCAGTGCATTACAAAGAGACAGGTGACTGAGCATTGCATTTTATTTTAGTTTATAATCAAAGATTTAAAAACTATAAAATAGTATACAAGTTCCTGACTAAGAGTCTTTCATACTGAAAGAGGCATTACTTCCATTTCCTCCAGTTTGACAGAATATATATATATATTTCTAGTGATCCTATCTGGTTGCCTTGATATGTGACAGATATAGTTAAGGTTCAAGTTGCTGGAGTCCCCTTTCAAATGTATAATGAATTAGCTTCACAGCTTATTTTAAAATTATGTGGTGGGCGTCATATCTGTGGTGGCAAGCCTTGCAACAGGAAAAGTCCCTCACGATCCAGACCTGAAGTGGAAACGCATTATCCAACAGTACTAAAGATTTCGAGGTTGTCATGGAAACTGCTCTGCTTAGCGGCTTCTTCTTGGAGCTCGGCCTTCCAGCTGCGGGTCTGTAAGAGAACGGCCCTCTCCTCCTCGCACTACAAAATGCCAGCCTCTCTCTAATAGATAAGATTCAGAAGGAGAGGAAGAAAGTGGGAAACAGAGATAGCCGAAAACCATTTACCTCCAGAGAACGAAAGCGCCACTAGAGCCAAGTCTTCCTGCGAACACTGGAGCTTTTCTGCCACTATTTTCAAGATCTCCTGTGCTGAAGTGGATACTTTAGTTTTTACGCTGACATAAGAATGTTCTGTTATATACACACGGCAAAAAACTGCAAAAGGAGAAGAGGGAATGCCATCAACAGAAGGAGCTAAACTTTACTGAAGTCTGAAAGGACTTCATAGACCTGGCACATTTTTCTTCTAACAGAAAAATACAAGCATAACAACATACTCTTAATATTTTCAGATCCCAAAGTACAGTTGGTATGCCATACATACAAGAAATCATTTTTTAAAGATCTACTAGCCGTCCCCTGCCATGCGTTGCTGTGGCCCAGTCTGTATATATTTATTTTGTGTGTGTATGTCTGTGTATATGTGTATGTATGTGGCTTTGTGCATGCGTTGTAATGTATTTTTAAATTTTTGGCTTTTCAAGTCCCTTCTGCTATGTTTTCCAATGTTTCTATGAGTGATGGTCACTTGTTGGCCTGATAGGTGTATTGTGTCCAAATTTGGTTTCTGTTTGTCCAGTAGTTTTTGAGTTATGTTAATCCCACAAACAAACATTACATTTTTATTTCTATAGATAGGGATATTCACAGGAACACCTCAGCAAGCAAGAGTCCAAAAGTGGCAGCCTAAAACCCAGAACCTCAACCCATGGTTGATACTGGATGAGAGACTCCCTGCGGGGTACACAGAAGACTGGGCAACTTGGAAGGTACCAAACAGATTGTGCTCTGGCACCACAGGGTGCAGAACCAACCTTAAGAAATAGGGCCACAAAGTGGAGTCCATGACATGGGAGTGCAGAGAAGAGCAAACCACAGACCACCTGTTACAATGCAGTCTGAGCCCTGCCACATGCACAACAGAGGAGCTTCTTATAGCAACACCAGAGGCACTCCAACTAGCCAGCTACTGATCAAAGGACATTTAGTATAATGCCAAGTTTTTCAACTTTGTTTGTGTTTTTAAATACATTACAACTGTACCCTTGCTTCACTTCTGATACAATAAATATGCCATACATGCATACATGATGGTTACCCTTCTTCAAAGAAGACAGCTAATAGCTACTAGACACAGGCATTAGGGCTGGGCGGTTTCTTTCATTAATTTCGTAATTCGTTGTTGATTCGTATTTAAATTAGCTTACGATCCAATATTGAGCCATGCAGGAGCAACTAAAAATAGAAACGAATTTTTCAATTTATTTCGTAATTGTTTCGTAATTGGTTCAAAATCGTTTTGAAATTGTTTTGAAATTGTTTCGAAATTGTTTCGTTATTATTTCCGTATGTCTGGTGCAAGTTTTAGAGTTGTTGTTTGTTTTATCAGTGATAAAAAATAAATTATCACACCAACAGTCAACAACAGAGGGAGAGGGAAGCTTCAGAAGTTTCCCCTGTCCCATTTGGAGTGGTTTTTTTGCATATTGTACAATTGCATCCGCCATTAATGAATCGATTCATAATTGTTTCGTAGTTGTTTCGTAATGTACGAAATTTTGTATATTTCGAACTTTTTTAAAGAAAAAATTCGGAATTCTTTTAAAAAACGAAACGCAAAACCCCCCTAAAAATGAATCGAGTTTAGAAACAAATTTTTCCGTGGTTACCCAGCCCTAACAGGCATGGGAAAACTTGGGCCCTCCAGGTGTTTTGGACTCCAACTCCCACAATTCCTAACAGCCAGTAGGCTATTAGGAATTGTGGAAGTTGAAGTCCAAAATACCTGGAGGGCCCAAGTTTGCCCTTGCTTGCATTAGTGCAATGACCTGCCCTTTATTATTATTTGTATTATTTCCAATATGAACACACAGATTAGTAGGTAATCCAAATATTATTTGCTTACCTTCTTCTGTTTCAGTCACAGTCCCTCTGTTCTGAAGCCAGTTCTCCTTTAGGCTGAACTGATGCAAAATGGCTTTATGCTATGGGAAAGAAACAGTAAATGCAATTCATTAGCTAACGAATATAAAATAAGTATTTCCTCCTGCCCTCTCAAACTGTTGCATAGGTTGAAAAGGAAAATGGAAAGAAAATCAACTGGGGAATTGTATTTGTGGATAAAATAGATAGCGCATAGAGTAGACATGAAAAACAACTTTAAATACGTTCTGTAAAAAAAAAATTACTTCTATCCTATTTTCTTGTATCTGTGTACCTGCATCCTATATTTTAAAGGTTAGTGTACCAATGTGCTTTAATTTAGTTATTTTTAAAAAAAATCACAACCTACATTTTTAAGGCAAGACATTTGCGTTGAAATTTCAAGGAACCATTTCCTCTGCATTACTTGTATATGTGCTGTCTCTTTCTTTCTTGTCACTATCCAACATCCTTCACTCCAACTGAGTACTTGACATTTGCAATTAACATATCTGCCCAGATTTGTTCAACCAAGTCTACTTGAATTCGAAGCTGTCTAACTAGATTGACAATGATATGCTGATTGATTTCTATGGGATCCTGGCATCTCAGAGCATACCTATTAAATACTAATAATGGCACAGACACTTTGGGTTAGTTTTATGGGGCTTGAAAGAGAGCTACAGTGACAAGAAAGAACAGTTTTAGCAATGCTATCAGCCTAACCCAGGTTTTGTTTTATGGTTACTTGCCTTTCTGTGAGGTGAATACTCATCAACAGTGCTGAAATAAAAAGACAATGTATTACTTTCTGTCACCCAAAACACTCTAAATTTAATAGGTACAGAGAGGAGATGACATTATATCCAAAAAACAAGTGTAGACTGGTGCTATATGTGTTTCTTGGGAAACAATTCCCACTGTATTCAATGGAATATATTCTAATATATGTATTGGGTTGCAGTCTTAGAAGTGTGGCTGAACATGACACTAGAAGTGACCTCATTTGTAGGTAATCCAGCAATGCATTGTATCAGCTCTCGCCCTGAAAGAGCAATTGTTGCTATCAAGCAGAAATGGTTATTTATTTATTTATTTATTTATTTATTTATTAGGAACATTTCTATCCCGTCCTTCTTGCCTCCGAAGAGGGACTCAGGATGGCTATCAACAAGCACCATTCAGTGCCAAACAATAAAACAAGCATAATATACAATTAACATACATTAAAAACAATTATAGATACATTAAAACAGTTTGCCATTTTACGTTGCCTTCCAAATCAATCTAGAAACAACTTGAAGGCACATAACAACAAAACTATGTAATAGTGGATGGTGAAAGAAAAAGGAAATAACTCAGAAGGACTGATGTGTGGATGAAACAAAGAAGCAGCACTGCACAAAAGTTTAGGAACCACTAGTAGAGTTACAAGAGAATTTTAAAAATAATGAGGAATATGACCTTAGTGGTTAATTGTTATCAAGCAGCTATCTCCTTTCAACAAAGGTTGGCAGTTTGAAGCCATGGGTCGGGGTGATCTCCCGTTAGCCCTAGCTCCTGCAAACCTAGCAGTTTGGAAACACATAAATGTGAGTAGATCAATAGGTACCTTTTCAGCAGGTAGGTAATCTGTGGGAAGGTGCCTACAGATAACAGGCTCCTCAGCTTGGAAATGGAATAACACACCTCCCCATGCACAAAGTTGAGCACTGTCTCCAGAAAGCCGGAGATGAAAGGGGAAGCCTTTACCTTTGTTCTGTGTATTTGTGTGTCATTGATATTCTACTGAATTACAGTCATTGAATGTTTACCTATCTGTGTATGTTGTAATCTGCTCTGAGTCTCCTCAGGGAGACAGAGTGGAATATACACAAAGTGTTGTTGTTGTTGTTGTTGTTGTTATGTGATTTCTTGGTTCATACATAATAATAACAACAACAATAAACGTTATTTATATTTCACCCTCTTTCCCTAAGGGGTGAGAGTAATAAATTTCAATTCTGATAAGAATCAAGCATTACAGTATTCTATGTGCAGAAATAAATTACAGCCAAATCCTTCTGTCTGGAAAATACTCCCTGTAAGTATTAATGTTTTAAAATGCAAGGACAACTAACTACAAATCTTCTGTTTATGGTAATAGCCATAGTGGAACATTAAATTATTGTTTCATGGTATATGAATACTCTTTCTGTCAGCACTGTGTGCATCAAAAGCGTCATTTCAAATAATTCCCTTGTGGATGTAGAAAAAAGCTTATCTAAACAAATATTAAGTGCATGAAATTGTACTTCTTCTACATTTGGCACCACTTCACTCAAATAAAAAGAAAACAAGTTGTCAACGCAAAATTAATTATAACTTTCCAAAAATATTTTTAAAATAGAACTCACTGACGACGGTGCATTCCAAGTAATTTCTGGAATTCTTTCAGGTCCTTTTCAAGCATAGGGTATTCATATACATCATCTAACACATTCCTGTATATTGTCTTTAAAACAGAAAAAGAACAGAGAGAAAAAGAGATCAACCAACCTGATCTGAGGATAGAGTACAAAGAATCATACAACAGTCTTTCAAAAGTCTGTTGCTTCAAAATGGCTTTCAAGAAAAAAAATCTTGATACATATTTTCTGTTTTTAAAAATACACACCAGTCAGTAACAATTGATGCTTTAAGAGGCAGTCACTGCGTCATCCCTTCGTAAATTTGTCAATTTTTTTTAGTCTGTGCCAGTATTATAAAATAACATTACTTAAACCCTTCCATTAGCTTCTAACCATTTCTCCTTTTGACATGAATACACTAAAATCACCACATTACCCCAATTCAGCAATTTGATGAGTTCAATGTCTGAAACTTAGGAATTAATTTCAAACCCTGATACCCTGATTTAGATTGTTTAGCCTTACAAGAACATGAAGAACAATACACCCACCCTAGCTTTAGTTCGTAAGACTTTTAGCTTTGTTTCCCGGCCAGAAATTAACTTTGCTCATGCTTCCTCCTCTTTATTGCTATAACCATAATTCTGTATGGCTCTACATAGCATGAAAAGCCACTCTAAGATGTATCCTATGACTTACTGAGGCTGGATCTACACTGCTAGATAATCGAGATTACTAAACTAGATAATCCAGATTATCTGATTTGAAGTGTATTATATGAGTTTACACTGCCATATAATCCAGTTCAAAGCAGATTATTTGGATTTAATATGGTAGTGTAGATGGGGCCTGAATGGTCTCTGAAGCCTTCTTTCCCTACACAGCCATTCTATGATTTCTGAGAAGCAGTCTGAAAAGCCACAGTGGGGAAAATATGGAAGCATATGGCTATGTTCTGTAGCCAGACAAAAATTATTACAGCAGCACTGAGATGTCCGGTGAATCTCAACACTCACGTCAACATTTCACATCTAGCTATGGGGATATACCTAGACACCTCTGCAATCTTGCCTATCCCTCATATGGTCATGTAGGGGGTCACGTGGGAGAGCTCCAGACATTGTTCAGTAAGTTAGCTAAAAAACTTGAGCATGACAGAAGGAGGAAGGGGACAGCAATCCACACAAGACTCAAGAAGGGACATACACTAATGTAGGGGAAACTTACATGAGCAATTTGAGCAGATGTCCCTAACAGGATGTCAGCAATGGGTACTTACTTCCCCCTACAAGAGGGAGCATCTCAATGTTTCGCCTTATCAATTTTTCTTGGCTGTCTTTTAAAACTTAAACAGTAAGCAAGCCAACCATATAGTCCTGAAAAGCATCTGCTTCAAAGTCTGAGGGGAAAGGAAGTAGCAACTCTGAAAGGTCAGGAAAGGAAAGCGGACAACACAGTCCAGTCATTTGCCTTGAGACTACTATGTGGAGGACACACAAGCTTTAGGTTAATCACTTTGCTGAAACATAATGCCCTTAAAGGATTAAATGACAGAAAGATGGCATACATAATGTGACCACATGTTACAAAAACTGTAATAGACTGCTGAGGAATGATTGTCTATATTCTCCCTTGAATACAGCCCTAACTTTATTCTTTGATCTGCAATAACTGGGAATGCAAAACTTCTCTTAAGTAGTTGATGTACACATAAAAAACATCAAATGTTTTATTCCACTTGGGTGGGTTTTCACACATTGTAAATGATTTCTCACATATCAGAACTACTTTTGTTATTGTTGCAAAAATATTCCAAATCCCACTTTGTGCAATTTGTTCAAAAGTCAGTATTTGGGGGGACGGGGACTCAAAGCACTGACATTCTTTTTCATTCTGGACTTTCCCACTCAGGACAAGATCATTTGAGGATATTCGTTATGCCTTTAGTTACCAGATAGTATAATATCTTAATCCAGGAAAGGCTTTAAGGCTAACAGTGTTTCTACAAAATTAACTGGGCAATTTAAAAAAAATAAAATGGACACTTATTTTAATATGTTTCAGGATTGCCACAAGTTATTTTCTCACTGGGTTGCTGTGAGTTTTCCGGGCTGTATGCATTCTCTCCTGACGTTTCACCCATGTCTACGGCAGACATCCTCAGAGGTTGTCTGTTTGAGGTAAGTGCGAATGTTGAAATTGGCTACCTTGATTAGCATTCTGCCAGGCTGACAGGCAGGAAGCAACCAGTCTTTGAAGCTGCAAGGCTATTCAATGCTAATCAAGGTGGTCAATTGCAACATTCATACTTGCCTCAATCAGACAAGAGTTATTTCTCCCACCCTGGACATTCTACAGGTATATAATCCCCACTTGCCTAGTTTCCAAAGACCTTGCAACCTCTGAGGACGCCTGCCATAGATGTGGATGAAACATCAGGAGAATGCTTCTGGAACATGGCCGTACAGCCCAGAAAACTCACAGCAACCCAGTGTTTCTGGCTATGAAAGCCTTCAGCAATACATATTTTGTCACTTCCTAACTAAGTCGATCTGCAGATGTTTTGGCCAATCACACTTAAATGTTTTATTCTGCCACTACTTTTTCAAAACACACATATATGTAAATTTTAAAAAAACCACATAGTACTGAAAATAATTTGGGCATAATTACCTTTAGAAACTGCTTTAAATGCTCATCTTCATGTAACCAGTCTTTGTAGAGTGAAGTCCACTGAGACACCAAATGTAAGACTTTTCGCTTTCTGCAGGGAACATCCGACCTTTCTTCTTTCCCTTGATGGTTCTTAGCACAATAAGTACACTAAGCTAAGGAACATGGAATCAGGACGAATGCTTCAAAGGTTACACTACAATTTTTATTTTATTCTGTATTGGAGGCATAACATTCACTGGGTGAACGCAAACCAGATTTATTCACTGCCTGACTACCACATGGGATTTAGAGGAAAGCCATATAACACTTTGAGTTCACTGAAAGATCAACAGGCTACAACTTGATGCTAATGAAACCACTCAGCAAACACATACCCAAACTGAGGCACTTTTTCTAGTAATCAGAATAACCATGAAAACATTGTAATCAATTCTAACCAATAGAGCTCAGTAAACACAATGTTCCAAGACAGTAAGATTATGAATTCCACTTTATTGTACTATTGAAGGATATTGCCTCAAGAGAGCTTGGCACAAGTCATCCGTTGTCATGAAGACTGTGTATGTGAGAAGAAAGTCATCCAGGAGAGTGTCTGCAAAGAAAGTTACATGTTTGTTTGTTTATTTATTTATTTACTTCACTTGTATACTGCTTTTTCTCACCCCAGGAAGGGGGGGGGAGAGGGAACTCAAAGCGGGTTTCCAATATGTATGGCAAAGTTTAATGCCTCACATACATATAAAACCTAACATAGAGCAACCATTACATATAACTTTGAATTAGAGCATAAAAATGTAACAACATTTAGACAATCAAAACATGGAGTAAAAAAACATAGTAATATAAACATTAAAATCACATAATTCAGAAATCATGATCCAAGGCTGTTCCAAATGTCAAATATCAATGGCACATAATCCCTGATCATTCCTTGTATTGCTTACTGCCCCACCCATAGCCAAGCTTTTACTTTTTTTTCTGAAGGCCAGGAGGGAGGGCGATGATCTAATTTCCATGGTCAAGCAACCACCATTGAGGAGGCCCTGTCTCTCGCCCCCACCAGGTGTACCTGCGAGGGTGGTGGGACCAAGAGCAGGGCCTTTCCAGCTGATCTTAACCTCCAAGATGGTTCATAGAGGGAGATACGTTCCCTGTTCATTTGTTTTTAAAACGCATGATAACTAATTTGTCTATGATAGCAAACATGGCAATAACTAAAAAGAATATTCAGCACCATACATTGGAACAAATACACCTAGACTTTCAAGTACACTGATAAACCAAACTTAAGTGTTATTTCACAACCAAATTCATTCTCTTTGGTTACTCCAAGTCACAACATAAAGAACAACAGTCTAAATATGTAACACTGTATCTTCAACATTTTATGTAATTGCGAATTTGCACATGTACTTGATTTAATAAATTCAAGTTAAATATTCATTTTTTTTAAAAAAAAATAGCTGGTTGACAGGCTTATGATAAAGGATTTAAGAGATTTGTGTGTGATCCTAGATTTACTGCTATTAAACAATGCACATAATGAAATTCCTCTGCATAATCAAAATGAGACTGAATGCCTTTTGAAATGTTGAATATATTAATACCTATAGCGTGGCCATCAATTCTACATACGATTTCAAACACTAAATCATCTAGCACTGTCTTTTTACCAGCTCAAATTCAGAAAAAGGTATATTAATTGAGGTTTCATTATTCTGGCAGCCTCTTCAATTCCAACAACTTCAAAGTAGAATTTTCTAGTTTAAACCATCTAAAAGCTTTTATGCTTTAGATAGAAAGAGTGCCATGTTAGAGCCATGAAACTCCATGGGTCCAATTTCCGCATCATTTGCACATTCCTGTTTTCACTGAACTCTACATGTGTGTGTGAAATTGACTGGATAATAAGACCTCAGGAGGTTTAACTTTCAGAATTCCCTAATCACTATTCTGAAGAAGAAGGGCATGTTCTTTTCCAGTCAGTGGGAGTGACCCTCAGCAGATAACAAGAATACTGGCTGCAAATGCTTCCACGGGAATTGAGAGAGTAAAGGAAGTAAGGAAGGACAATTTGAGGGATCACTTTTGATGCAGAGACGGAACAATCCTTATGGTAATCTTGCCCTGTTCTAATACTCTGACCTATGAACCCCAAAACCAATACATGGGCACCATACAGACGAGCTACTCCTTTATATAATCAAGCAAGTACTTCATCATTTAAACATAGCCTCCTTTTCAGATATAAACCTCTTCCAGTCTCAATTTCTTTGAGTTTCTCCAAAATCCTGCTTGAATTTTCTTGTCATTCTTCTTTCAAATTGGGTTGCAAGGCACCATATTTTCTTCCTAAATCAAAGTCCAATTGTCTTATTTATTTATTTGTGGTATTTATATATCACCCTTCTCAACCCTGAAGGGGACCAAGACACCATATTTTCTTCCTAAATCAAAGTCCAATTGTCTTATTTATTTATTTGTGGTATTTATATATCACCCTTCTCAACCCTGAAGGGGACTCAGGGCGGTTCACAGCAATAACTCAGTGCCATCGATAAAAACAGTATAAAACATCAAAATTTACCCTTCACACATCTTTCTGAGGTTGATCATTTGTCTGTTCAATTTTCCTAATGTCTGCACCTTTCTCCCATTGCCTAAAGCATGTTTGTGTAGTTATTAAATTATTTCCATTGTAGCTGTTCTCATTTTAAACCATGCACCTTGCAAACATACCAGTAAACTATTACTGTGAACTACTTTTGTTGAGATTATGCAGTCTGACTAAATTTCCATCTATCCTTATTTTTCATCATTGTAAACTACAAAAATTGTTTACAAGTAAGCCCATGATTTATGAGCCAACTTTAAAACTAAACTCAACAATAGCAAATGCTTACTTATTTGTTGCTGGAAAAAAAGGATGACTTAATTGTGGTTTACAAGTGTAAGCCCTTGTCACAGGCAATAAAAGACCTAGCTTGGCAAGCCTTTCTTGTGTGAAAAGAGAAACAATGTTATAGGGAAAGGGTTGCATGTAGGTTCATTATTGTTGTGTTCCTTCAAGTCGTTTCTAGCTTATTGAGACCCTAAAGTGAACCTATCACAAGGGTTTTCTTGGCATGATTTGTTCAGTAGGGTTTATCCTTTGCCTTCCTCTGAAGCGAAGAGTGTCACTTCCTACCTAATAAGTTTTCATGGCCAAGCAGAGATTTGAACACTGTTCTCCAGACTGAAACAACTCCAACACTCAAACAACTACACCATGACCAGGAAAGAAAGCCCACTGGAGCATTGCAGCACACCAAAATACCTGGGAGTAACCCTGGAACATGCTCTGACTTACAAGAAGCATTGCTTGAATATCAAGCAAAAGGTGGGTGCTAGAAACAGTATCATATGACCGGCACAACCTGGGGATCACAACCACATACAGTGAAGACATCTGCCTTTGCGCTTTGCTACTCTGCTGCTGAGTACGCATGCTCAGTGTAGAATACATCTTGTCACATTAAAACAGTGGATGTGGCTCTTAATTAGACATGCCACATTATCACAGGATGTCTGTGATCTACACCACTGGAGAAATTATACTGTTTAGCTAGCATTGCACCACGTGACATCTGCTTGGAAGTAGCAGCTAATAATGAAAGGATCAAGGCAGTGACATCTCTAGCCCATTCCCTGCAGATATCAGTCAGCATGCCAACACCTTAAATAAAGAATATTTTTATAAGATCTACAGAGATACTCACAGAAACCCCTCAGCAAGTGAGAGTCTAAAAGTGGTAAGCTAAAATCTGGAAACTCAAGCCATGACTGATACTGAATGAGAGACTCCCTCCTGGGCACACAGAAGACTGAGCAACTTTGAAGGCGCTGAACAGAATGCGCTCTGGCACCATGAGATGCAGAGCCAACCTTAAGAAATGGAACCACAAAGTGGAGTCCACGACATGTGAGTGTGGAGAAGAGCAAACCACAGACCACTTCCTACAATGCGGTCTGAGCCCTGCCACATGAACAATAGAGAACTTTCTCACAGCAACATCTGAGGCACTCCAATTGGCCAGCTTCTGGTCAAAGGACATTTAGGATAATGTCAAGTTTTTAACTTTTGTTTGTAGTTTTTTATACATTATAACTACATTCTCAATTAGCTTCTGACATGATAAATAAATATCCATGCTGGCTCTTAGATAGCATTTAGGTTCATGCCACTCTGTATATCCTAACTTATTCAGTCAAAACTTCTTGGTTTAGTTTTATCTCAAAACACGATAAGAAATATCTTTACTACACCAAGGTAATAGGAAGGTAAAAAAAATTGGACCTGAATGGGGCAACTTCTGATGTTCCATGGTCCATTGTACTTTCCCTGAACAATGAAAAAGTTTTATATTTTATTCTGAGACCCTGATGAAAGTATAATATGGGACTTCCTGTAGACTGCTTCAAATACATCTGATGACAGCCTCAGGCTCTTTGCTTTTCTACAAAGCTTCCACCTTAGCCAAAATAAAGAAGTGTGTTCGCTTATTAAATTTGGATCTGAACATATGCTACACTTTCATACTTTTACTATTGCAGGAGCTTCTGGATTGTACACAAAATATAGGAAGAATATTATCTACTTTCCTCAAAAGGGAACTAGATACTACAGTAGACATACAAGGAAAGAGCCAACTATAACTAGGATCTGTGGCTCCCTGAGTAGCAATAATATGGCTATTCATCTTTTTCTCTTTTTCTGTGATGAGGACAAAGAAGTGATGGAAAACCTAGGGGAGGTAGAGTAGTTACAACTAACAGGTGACAATGTCTGAAACCCTCATAAAATCCAGGGAATGAAATAAGGCCACAGTCTGATTAAAGTTATGTATAAAACTGTTCTTTGAATAGAAGATAAAATAATGATAAGACAATATAACATGACATTAAAGTAGAAATAAATATATGTCAAATATTTTGGATGCTTTTGAGGCTCAGCTATAAACATTCTACTGACAGATATTTCACAAGGGAAACTTTATTCATCACAAATTTGTAATTATCCATTCAGTTGCAAGCAATATTTCTACAAAGGAGCAACTTGGTTTGAACAAATAGGAACAGGATTCCAAGAACTGCAGTCTTAATCAGGTATGAAAATATATGCGGTGCCAACTAACAAGTACTTTATGCTCTCTTCTCTTCAGAAGGGAAATTGCATTGCAACAGTTACCATATATTATGGTAGATTTAAAAAGCCGCTTCTCTCTCTCCTCAGGTATGCATTTGTAATACATCATATTTAGAATACAATAAAACTGGAGATAAAATTCTTACCAAATTTGCAAAGGGAATAACATAAATTTAACGTCAATGCCTCACAGTATTTGAAGCTAGTTTTCAGATATACTGTCATGTCTTGCATATATCTTTTACTTTTACTTACATGTTTTAATACAGCGATTACTTGGGAAGAACATTCACATTTCTTCCTGATTTTCTTTATTTGTATGGATACAAATTTTAAAAATAAGGCTAATTTCTAAAGATTTTTATTTTGAAGACTATATGAGGCTTTACTAAAATATGTAACAGAAA